CTATCACTACAGTCCCTAATGAAGAGTCCATCCCCAGCATCCTTGTAGGCCCCCTTCAGATACTGGAAGGCTGCTATGAGGTCTCCATACAGCCTTCTCTTCTCCAGGCTGCAATGAGGTCTCCATACAGCCTTCTCTTCTCCAGGCTGAACAGCCCCAACTTTCTCAGCCTGTCTTCATATGGAAGGTGCTTGAGCCCTGATCATCCTCGTGGCCCTCCTCTAGACTTGGCTCCAATAGTTCCATGTCCTTTTTATGTTGAGGACACCAGAACTGTACACAATATTCCAAATGAGGTCTCACGAGAGCAGAGGAGCAGGATCACCTCCTTTGAGTTGGCATATAAGTTTTGTACTCCCAAAGTCTAAAATTAGAGAAAATGCATTGACCTATTCCCAGTCCTTCCAGTCTGCTAGCTTGTTTTGAATGTGGTTGTCCATCCTAATCCTTTGGCAGGTTGATGACATCCTTAGCAATATCAGTGAAGAAATCAAAACACTGGGGCAAAGAAGCTGAGCTTTAACTCCACTGTTAGTAACAGTCCCCTCATAAGATATCGCAAGAAAGGTAATCAGCAGTGGCATGATTTTGAATGCTCTGTTGCATGGCTGGGACCTCTGCATTTGGAGAGCACTCTATGGAGGAGGCAGCAGCTCTGCTGAGTCTGCTTCACCCTCTTCCTTTGGGAAGGAAAAATACTGCCTGCAATCCTGGACTGACGGTGGGGCCTAAAGGACTGCAGCAGAATCTTGTGGGGACCTCAGTACACACGCTTCCCACTGCACACCTCTGCTTCATACCATTTTTTTTTCATTCAGCTCCTTCCCTGCATCCTTGCCTCTGCTGCCTCCTTTCTAGGGAAGCCATATTACAGATTTCCCTGTTTGTCCTGAAAACATCCCACATGAAGTCCTAACCAAAACTTCACTGCAACACTCATCCAAAAGGAGAAACGAGGGGAGCTGATTGAGTTAGCCATGCCTTTGTTCCCCACTGATTGTTTGTTCTCTTCATGTGGTATAGGAAAGAGTGGCCACAGCTACCAACTACTGTTGCTTGTGTTTCTTCTCTGGCTCATAATAAAGGGCCTATTCCTATTGTTGTGTGTAAAACTAGGAAGAATTTTGTCGGCCTTCAACTAGCTAAGCCAAGTCTCGTCCTAGAACATGGAAGAGGGATGCTCTTTAGAGGTCATAAAGTAGATCACCTACAGCAAAACCCTGATTCTGGATACAGAAAATTCCTTTTCCCAAATCACATGATGTCCAGTTAATGCATTACAGATCTCAAGGAATGATTTTACAACAATAATGCTTTCTGTCATAGCACTTATTCTGTACACATTAGTCACTACACTGACATGTTGCAAATGAGGTCGTAAAAGCTAAACAAGCCATAAAATTGGATTCTTAATTTAGGGTCCAGATAGCTCCTGTGTATTTCTATCACCTAGACATGCTTCACTTTGAATTAGATATTGCCAGACTCTGAACTGCAGAAAAGTGCTGTGGAAGGTTAAGGCTTTGCCATCTGTAATGCAGTTAAAATACCACTGTTATTCGCACTGCAGCTATAGTGTGTTTTTTGCCAGCTATTGTGTATATGGTAGCAGGTTATTAAGCATGAGTCATCTTACTGAACCTTGCCAGTCTAAATGAAAGACTTATATAATCTTTAAAATGTGATTTGGTAAACAAGGGCAGACTGTCAGCCAGCATCATGCTGTCTGACTGAGCAGACAGGAAACCAGGTAGATAATGATGTTGTTTGCTGTGCTTTCTACGGAGTCCCTCCCTGCCAAAGTAGCATTGCCAACTTCTGCAGCAGTTGGTGAACCAAAGACACATTGCTTCTGAATAATGGATGGATTTGGATTTTCAGCTCTGCACAAACAATCTATACCATGGTAGTTGGCCTGATCTCATTTAAGTGTGAGGAAAATGGTTCTTCAGCCAAATAGGGATTTCTGTCTTCCAGGATATGTCCGTGGTCACGCAGCAATTGAGCAGCTCCATGCTTTCCCATGCGTTTGCACTGATGTAGGTTCTGACTAGAGCCCTGACTACAGCTGTCCTTCCTTTCCCCTTCACCGTGAGTAGGGTGTTAGTCCTCACATCTTTTGGTGTTTCTACTGTGGCAGGAAGCATTTTAAGTGTGTATCTTTGAATATACCAGTCAGCAGGAATGTCAGTGCCCTTGGGGTTTTGATCCCTGTCAACATCAACAGGTTTTTTTATAAAGGATTAAAAAAATAAACAAATGAACGAACAACTTTGAGATGCTTAAAAAGAGTATGTCAGAAAAGGGGAGCCTTCTCCGCTGCCTAAAAGGCTTGCAAGGTGGGGACCTACTGCATTTATTGTACTACACAGAAGCACTGGTCATGCAAGGAGCTTTGTGTTGCAGACTTTGCTGTGAAATATGTACCATTATTTGGGTTTCATGTGGGCAATAGTAGAAGCTGGAATTTGAGTTATTGTAGCTGTTGTTCCCTGTGCATGAACCCTGGCTTGAGCTACTGCAAAACCAAGCTTGAATCTTACACCATTTTAACTCTTTTTCCTAATGGTGTACTTCTTCCTGTTCATCCATTATTCAGGACTTCCTTACATGTCCTGCTAATCTCAAAGATGTTGTGAAAATACCTTGTTTGTAAAATAGCTAGAAATTCCCATCCTGGCGCCATTTTTGACTCCACCAGTGAGGCACAGCACCTGGGTAGGGAGGGAAGACCCATGGCGAACCTCATGGTGGGAATCGTAAGTATAACTTGTCCATTCTGTCTGTGGTTTTGGTTTGCACAGGCCACCCTTTGCTTGCTAGATGAAAGTGTGTGGGCAGGAATATGCAGGCTGAAAAAACACTGAAAGACAGCCCGCTCGCCTCCCTTGGCTCAGAGCAAACACGGTTATCTGCAGCTAGCTGGCAGGTGACTTTGTAGAGCAAATAAATAGGCAGGTAGTAATTTGTATTGATTTCAGGGAAAGCCAGGGGCCATTAGCCACCATGCAGCTGTGTTTTTGAGCCATGGCACAGTTCATTTTGCATCTCAAAAGGTTTGTATATAAGAGGACAGGGAACAAAATGAGGTGTAACTTTGACACGAATGCTACATTTCAGTTGGGAAAAATGTAAAGGGCATTTCTGCCTATATGAAAATGAAAGTGAAATGAGAACAATGGGAGCTCTGAGTCTTGCAGGTCATTCACAAAGCCCAAGAGGGATGTTAGGGAGAGCCTCCAAAAAGACCTGCAGAAATAAGCATAAGTTCCCAGTTACTTTCAGCTGAGCAGTAACTTCAGAACATTCTCAGCCCATCCTGTGCCCAGCAACCCTGAAATTTTGAGTGGTTTGAGTTTTTTTATTATTGATCTTTTCCAGCAACTCAAATAGCCTTCACTTCTAAAAGTATGACAACAGTGTAAAGAAAGAGAGTGTCTAGTCTGAAGACCCTGGGTGAGGGCTATGTGTGATCCATCTGTGAAGCACTGACTTTGCTACCACTGGAGTTTGAGTTACCTAGACCTGTTGAAGTCAGCTAGACCTTCACAGTTTACTTTCCTCTATTTCTCCCACAGTCCTTGAGGATCTTTGCAGTAGGGGGAAGTAATTTACCCCCTCAGAAATGGACTGCTGAGGGGTCCGATATCCCACTAGTGGCATCTGTGAGAAAACTGATTTGTGCTGTCTTTCTCAATGCTCTGGGATTGTACAGACGTTTGACTAATTATATCTCATTTGGCTGTGGTAAAAAAAAAAAAAATTAAAGTAAAACGCCTGAATAACAGTAAAATGGGCATTGACTGCAGCTTAAATGTGGAAGTGTGCAACATTTTGCATTTGGCAGAACTTCATAAGCAAAACAAAAGTTGAGAAATAATTAACAGCAAATGTTCCTGTGAGCAACGTCCTACAGTAAAGGATGATTTACAGCCGGTACAAGAGGCCAACTGAGCATTCCCACTGCAATCTTAAATTTTTGTGGATCAGAGAAACAACTGTAAGTTGCTCTGAAGTCCTGAGAAGTTGAGGACTTGCAGTCTTCTGAAGGATGTGACCTTGCCTGGAAAGTAGTGGTACAATGTGGGCAGGAAGCAGTTTCTGGCAGGAAAAGATGAACATCTGCAAGGTTTTCTATTTTCATGTTTGACCTGAAACATTGTAGGATTCATGGCTTTGACCCGAGTTCCATGCCTTGTGCTACAAATTTCCGGATAGTTCTGATTAAAGTGGCAAGTGTTTCTCTTGAACAGAATTAATTATTTAGATCTGGGAAAATAAACTATGATAAAAAGCGAAAGGTTAACTCTCAGAGTTTAAGAAAGGTTAATTATATCTTAAACCTTGCACATCCCTTAAGCTTCTTGTAAGCTGCTGGAAAACTGATGGCTGTCAGTATAGCACAGCAAAGGGTGAATTTGATTGTTTTTTCCTTATATTGAAATGAAAGTTTATGGCCTTCATTTTCATGCCTGTCAGATTAGTTGAAAAAGAGATATTCGATACATTTGAGAAATGCACATAAATGATTAAAATGTCGTAAAATTTCATCAGGTGCAGAGGGACTGTCTGAGCTGGAGCTTGATTGCCGCACTGGTGTTGAAGATAAATTGTATGTTTTAAGATTGGATTTAATTTTCACTTCCTAAGTATGAGGATGCAATCATCATGTTTTGGGCTGCATTTGGATTTTTTCAGAGATTTAAGCTTCAAATCATATTGCCTCTGATACTGAACTGCGTTGTTTAAAAAGCCGTTTTACGTTATTTTAGTTGTGTATTGCAGTGATGTTACTTCCCTTGGGTTTAAAGGCAGAGTTTTTGCAGGCAGAAAGAGAAATGAGGCCACTTAAAAGCAAACGCTCTTTTGAGAAATGTATTTTGGAGTGCATGAGATGAGTGAAATGTGTTTAGCTGAGCTTACAAATGTTTCACTTGCCCACGCAAACGTGATCTTGCTTTGGAAGTGCTGAAGAGGGGGGTTTTGCTCTCTATTTGCAGGCGAGCAGCAAGCATGAGCTTGGCAACACAGCACTGTGAGTGGCAGGACCCTGTGGTCTGAACCGCATCTTCAGCTGACTTTCCAAGTGGCAAGGCGCCGTTGGTCCTGTACCATGGAGGACTGCCTTCACACCTCCTCTGAAAACCTCTCCAAGCTGGTGAGCTGGGCCCACAGCCATGGGACCATCTGCAGCCTCATCCCCAACCTCAAGCACCTCCTCTCCGAGGGGTCCCATGGCAATCTGACTGCCATGTGGGGCTGTAGTGCCGGCCATGCCTACCACTGGCCCCTGGCTGCCACATGCCGGGCTGGATCCCAGGAGCGTGTCTGTTTCCAGGACAGTCGCAGCTTCAACTCGGACAGCCCCAGCATGCTGGGGGTGCCCTCGGAGGTACAGGCCAGCCCCCTGGAGCGCTACCCAGGCCGGTCAGGCAAGCCCAAGCTGGATTGCACCCGCACCCGTGACTCCTGCGACTTCTCCTACTGCAGCGAGCCATCGGAGCTGGGTGAGCCCGTGGAGGAGTATGAGGATGAGGCCACCCTCTTCGACATGGTCTGTGAGTCCTCTGTCACAGATGAGGACAGTGACTTTGAGCCGCACACCCAGCGGGCCCCTACCGGCCCCCGCAAGCGGCCAGCTTCCAGCCAGCCCACCACTGCCCAGGCCCAGCCTGCTGACGAGGGCGGTGGTGAGGTGCTCCTCAAGAAGATCAAGCAGGAGCTCCCTGAGGACTACTACATAGTGGCCAATGCTGAGCTGACTGCTGGCGCTGACGGGCCGGCCCTGGCCCTTACACAGATGTCCAAGCCCAAGCCTCAGACACAGGCCGGGCCCTCCTGCCTGGGCCCTGCCAGGGCCCTGCCCCAGCCCACGGTGGGCCCCGACCCTGATCCACAGCACCCCTCCACCTCCCCACCTGGCCCACCCAGGCTGGTCGCACAGAGGCCGCTCCGGGGCCCCCTGGCCTCCCCAGCACGGGGGGCAGGCAGTGGCCCCGTGGCTGCCCTGCAGGTGCCAGCCACCAGCTCCAACACGGCCACCGCTGCCTCTGGGAAGTCCATCAGCATCCCGCTGTCAGCCCTGCAGCTGCCTGGTCAGGAGGAGCTGCCGGCCGCTGAGGACACCCTCCCTCCCGCCCCGCAGGCAGCCCCAGGCGGCGAGACGGCCAGCTCACCGTCGGTGGGTGCTGAGCCTGAGGTCAGCTCCAGCCAGCAGCAGCCTCCCACCGTCCCCACCACCACTCCTGAGGCAGCAGCACAGTCAATGCCAGGTATGACATTGGGTGGGAGCTGAGGGGTAGTTTTGGGGGCAGGAACCCCAGGCGTGGCTTTGGGAGGAGGGCAAGGAGACAGGGAGAAGGTACAGCATTAGCACAGGGGTGTGCTGGTCCTGTGATTCATAAGTCAGTATATAGAGAGACAGTCAGAGGATTATAGAATCATAGAACGGTTTGGGTTAGAAAGGACTTGAAGATCTTCTAGTTCCAACCCTCCTGCCATGGGCAGGGACGCCTCACCTGGAAGACAATTTGGAAGACCTCAAATGAGCAAAGTCTAGGAGCAACAACCCCCATGAGAAACTGTACTGCTGCCATAGGGAAAGTGCTCTTTGATTTCAGGTTTATAGGCCCAATTTGGATGCAGTTCTGTCATGGGAGAGGGTGCGCAGCCTCTTTGCCATGTGCATGGGACAGGGAGGACATGAAATATGGCCATGCACACTTTTGATGAAGTAGAAAAGTGGTCTGAATCAGGGGAGCCTAGAGTTGGGGGCCAGGTGTTTCCTTCCCCCTGAGAGAAGAGTGGTGTTTGACGTGGAGAGGCAAAAGAGGGCATAAGGACAGTATTGAATGGTTTCCCTGACCCATAAATCAGAGTAGCTTCCAGAGAAAAGGAAAATCACAACCTTAACAATGATATTGGTAACATTTAAATTTTAATCCAAGAGAAAAAAAAAAAGGCAAGTTTTTTTTTTTTTTTTACCCTGTTCTCAGGGGGAAAGTGTAAGTTTCGTACCTCATGCCCTTCATTTTTTCATAGCCTGCTGCTGTCAAAGCACCGAGAATTGGGACCAACAGATCAACATTATCACCCAAACAGCAGGTTAAACCAGTGTACTTATGCTGAATGATTATTTGAAGTGCAGAATAACTCAGTGTTGGCTGTAGGTCTTCTAGAGGGGGCAGAAATCTGTTTCTTGGGCAGATTTGCTGGCTCTATCTGGACCTGAGTGCACACAGTGATGGCTTTGCTCTTCCAGCTGGTGAGCTGTGGCATCCTGGGAGGAGGCCAGGGTAGGAGCAAGTTCTCCATCTGCTCCCTTGCTGGTTCAGTCTAGGAGTGTCTGTCAGACAGAGTAGAGCTAAACAGTGGAGGGGGTGGAAAACTGCCTATATGCTGTCTTTCTGGCAGCTACCGTAAGCACTAGGAACAGTGACTTTAACAGCTTGGATGCTACTTCAACGTGGACTCCCTGAAACCTGATTGAACAACAGTAAATCTGTTAAGTGTCCTGCAGGTCTTGCTGTCAAATAACACAATAGGCAAAGTTAAATGCTCAGTTTTGCAAGTAAAACTTCACTAACCATTACAAATTAGAAAGGATGGTAATTGCCTTAGTTGCAGCAAAGAAAATTCTTTGCGACCCATTTCTGTATGGCTGCATCTTTGAGATGTTACTTTTCAGTAGTCCTGTCGTGTAGCATCCCTTGTGGAAATTCCTCACAAAACCCCACGTGGTTTAGAACTGACTCTGCTCAGCTAAATATGAGAGATATGGCATGCCTGATGTCAATCCAGATTGTATGGTAAACCCATTTATTCTGCATTCCTCAATTCATAGTGTATCACTGCTTTATATATTCGAGCTGGTTTCTACCAGCCTGCCTCTACACCTTGCTTAGTCTGAAACTTGCAAGCTGGGACAATGGAATACAAACCTAGGCAGAATTTGTCCATGTAGGTGTGTGTTATTTGGGAGAGTGATTTACTTTCAACAGATGCATTAAAAAAACCTAAACCCTTTCAAACTGCTTTTACCAGATCCTCAGAAACCAAACAAGGTAAGCAGTTACTACCGCTTAGGGTTAAACCTCACAAGTGTGGACACAGTGCCGCATTTTCACATTTACAGTTTCCAGAGCAGGGTAGGTCCACATCTAGCATCTCACTGTGAGAACAAAGTGGGAATGCATTTGAGTTTACACCCACTGTGTAAATTAACCCTCAAAGCCTGCTAGCACTTCTTGCAATGTGCTAGAAGATCTCAGCATGATGTCCAGATTCCAGCTTGGTCAGTTATGTTGTCAGTACTTAAATTTCTTGTGTTGTTCTCAAAAAGTGTTACACAGTTCTCCTCAGCCTGGTATAGCATTGCTGTAATATGCTGTTACATACTCAGAGGTAGCTGCATTTTAAGTAGGATAAAATGACTGACATATGGCTAAAACTTGATACATCAATAAAGTCTCCAATTTCCATAAAGCCTGCTCCTTTGGGAAAGAAGTGCTGGCATTAATAAATCTTCAAGTTGCAGAAAAGTGGGCAATGTTGGCAAGTGAATTCATTACAGATGTGTAACCCTGCACAACAGATCCTTGTAGATAAAATGTGGAGGTCTGATTAAAGACTAGTGTAGGGTGATTGCTCATGTATAGTGATTTCGTTAGGTTGTCTCTTAACAAAGAGCAGTGCACTGGAAGTGGTGCATGATGTATAAAATTCAATCAATAATGAACTACAACAGGATGTTTATTTATCCTGTGTAAAAATATTCCTGTCCTGAAAAGACAGAAACAAGGATGAGTATAATTCTTATGTTGAAAAAAAATAAGCAGGAAATTACTATACTAAGGAGCCTAGAGCTAGTTTATAGACTCAGTGGATGCTTGACAAACAAACAAAGGTGCAGTTGCAAGTAAGTAGAGGATTTAAATTATGCCTTGTCCTGTACAAAGTGTGGCTTAATTTTAAAATAATATGTGAAGCCTTGCTCCTGGTTCCATTAGAACTGGTTGTATGTTTATGTCTTTGCAGGACTAAGGACTTAAATGAGAAGTTATGTTTAAATGTTGTGATCCAACCAGCATGAAATACTACTTTGAGTTTTAGTTTAAGTGACATATCCTTGCATTTATATCAGACATGGCTGATAGTTTCCATGCATAGTAATCTTGCAGATCATGAAAGTTTGAGTGAGGCTCTCCATTAAATCAAAAATCTTAATGATGTTATGTTAGCTTAGAGCAGTTCAAGCTGCATTACACTTTTGGACTAGTTTCTCTTTCAAACTTTTTTTTTTTTTTAATCTCTTTTACGCTGTTTAATTAAACTGTGCCAACGCAGGAACTTTACAAAGGTATTTTCATGTCTTAAAGGTGAAATGGCATGCCAATGACAATTCAGTGAGCTTAGACACTGATTTCTGTTGATTTTAGGTCTCTGTCTGAGCTTTGTGAAATATACTGAATTATTTTTGTTAAAGCTCAGCCCTAATAAGCAGACGTTCATCTGTGAATTTTCAGATTGTTCCTTACCACTTAGCAAAAGCCTTCAAGCGTAAATGTAGGTACTATTTAGTCTTTTTTTCTTGTAGAAAAAATGAGAGGATTTACATCTGATAGGACAGAAATTTTTGCAATAGTGGAGAGCACAGAATTTCTGCAATTTCTGCTTTCTGAACAGCCTTTTTTTTCCTTTAGCTAATATCTGGTCTGGTTTTTATGCCTGAAAACCAGCAGAGGGCAAGGTAGGTCACATCAGTGGAGATGGAAGGTCAGTAAGAAACATGATGCTTTAGGCTGCAGTTCATGCAGGCTATAAAAATTAGTGACATTAGGATAGCTGAAGCCATGAATGGAAAAGATCTGGTGTTATTGCAGAAAAAAGTGGAGAATTACTATGGCTTAGAGGGGGATATTGGTTACTGTGAAAGAGGCAGTTTTGATTCTCACAGAGATAGGGTTCACTTTGTAAGCAGAATTGCTGAATTATTTATGAAGAATACTCACTTGTTTCCTGAAGGCTGAGGGTGAAGATGTGCTTTGGATTAACAAGACAGTGCAGCAAGACATCTCTGGTCCAACACTGTAAGTACAGGAGCAAGGTTTTCCATGAGGATACACTAAAATACATCAAATCCAAATGTAAAAAATATGCAGAACGCAAAGAGTAGTGCGTAGAGAGAGAAAATAAAAAATCCAATAAATGAAGTGACTAGGTTGTTGCTTCTGCCAGACACATGGCATATCATATTATCATATTCTGTGGGACCATCACAGGGCCTTCATGCATATCCATTTCTGAAATTGGCAGGCTTTTGGGTGATATTTGCAGAGTTTGGAAAGGAAACAGGCTGTCCACAAGCACCACTGCTTTCTTATACAGCGTGCCGCACACTGTCTCTCTGCTGTGGTAATCAAACGGTACTGGAGGTTGAATACGTGCCCTGATGAATGGTGCACTGATCTGTGCTGAGGGCAGTACTTTGCCTTGGCCTTGCTGACTCTGATGTCTCTGATGCCTCTGAGCTCTTGCTGTTCTTTGTTTTTCTGCTTGCTGTAGCTGTTGTGTGAGGTGATCAGTGCCTGGTGATCAGCTTAGCCTGGTGACTTGGGCAAAGATCTAGTTCTTGTTCTGTGCTCACATCACAGGAAAGTGCAAGCAGGGATTGCAGCCTTTCATGATTGACACCTAACATGGCTTGACTTTCACTCTCTTTTCAGTGTGGACATCCCTGTCTGTTCCAGGGTTCATGGAATATCTCTATCTGATTATAACCATTATAAAATGCACTGCATCTGCATGCAGTGAAAGTCTTATGTTCATGTAGAGCTTTCTTAGGTGGACTATTTTGAAGTACTTTTCTGCAAACAAAAGAGCTAGGACCTCTTCCTTCCCCTTTCTCCTGCTTTGCTATTGTGTGGGTTTAAATTAAGTGGGAGCTGAGGTCCTCGTGTGATCATAAGACTTGCGAATTAGGAGCTGTTAGAGAAGCATCAAAATGTTACAAGACTTAGAGGAGAAAGAAGCCCCCCACATCTCATGATTTGCCAGTTTTAACTAGGTTTAGCTTAAACTCCTGAATCACTGTTCACACTGCAAGGGGAAAAAAAAAAAAGAAGTGTCAGCTAGCACATACCAAAGGAATGCAAACAAGGAAAAAATCTGTTTTTTTTAGAGGTATATAGAGTATTAGCCATACATACACAAAGACCATACCCATCCCAGCTGTAATCCTTCCAAGTCCAGTGGAACTCTGCCATGAATGAATACAACACAAGGCAAATAATCATGTCAAAAGAAAGTCACAAAGCTCTTCCAAGAACGCTCAGATACTTGCTGATCAGTCTCTGCATTTGTAATTTACATACAAAGATTGATGACTTTTGGCTAAAATGGCTGCTGAAGCCTGCCTCCAGGGACATGACTGCTGAATGTGGTCAAGCAAACAATTAAACGTGTGTAGGGGTCAGACAGTCTCTTCCTCTTTGTGTTGTACGAATGAGTACAGAGCCCACTGGTATCTCCTTAGGTCCTATGATTTATATCTATTTTTGCTCTAGTAGCTGAACTAAAAATAGTAAGTGCTGAGATACATAATTATGAAGAGCACAGTGCTTTTTTTTTTTTTTTTAAGTTAGAAGGGCCTAACTTATTTAGAAGAATAAAATCAGATCATTATAGTTTTAATCATCAGGAAAAGGAAGGTAGTGAGTTGATAATCCACCACCTATCTGCACTGCAACTACCTTCTTTCTGATCTTGCAGCATGGATTTGCCAGCCCACTCACACCCTTAATTATCTGTGTTCAAATGCTGTTAAATTATAAAGTAGTGTTTGGGAGGCTTGATCTTAAAAGTTCTGCTAATGAGGCTGACACTGTTTATCTTTACAACATTGTAAACGAGTTTTTTAAACTGGACAGGATCATAAAAAGGAGAATTCCAGCACTGGCAAAGTAGTCGTCTGTTTGCTTTTAGCATCTGAGTATACAGCATGACAGTCAAATAGAAGAAAGAATGAAACCATGGTACTAATAATTCTAATACAAATGAGTATGTTTTATGAAGCTGGTCCTACAAGAAGCATTTGTCAAGTTAGCAATTCTTGCAGAATACTGAAATGAAGGCTTATCACAACATCTTTAGATTTTCACTGTAATTAAGAGATGTGTTTATCACCATTTCAGGATTCCACATGTATTTTCTATAGTGGAAATTCCTTCCAGACACAGAATGCTCATTCCAGCCTCTGAAACCTTGAAGACCAGCAGTAGACTTGTCATATACAGAGAGATCTTCTCGCTTTCCTAAATATTACGTAATTATCAAAGCAACTATGCACACAAGAGTTTAGACTGCTGCTTTTCTTGATGTCAGTGCTTGTTTCCCCTGTTCACCATGGACCTGCAGCACACAGAGACACCTCCTGGCAGCAGTGTTACTGAATATATAGATAATTTTGGAGGAAACAGTTCATGAGTTTTCATGCTGAAAATAGTTTGGTGTAGGAGACATTCAGAATAGAGTAGCTAGGGTTGGAAAGGACCTTAAGATCATCTAGTTCCAGCCCCTCTGCCATGGGCAGAGACACCTCACACTAAGTCATGTCACTCAACCCTTTGTCCAACCTGGCCTTGAACACTGCCAGGGTTGGAACATTCACAACTTCCCTGGGCAACCCATTCCAGTGCCTCACCACCCTCACAGTAAAGAATTTCTTCTATATGTCTAACCTAAACTTCCCATGTTTTAAGTTTGAACCCGTTACCCCTTGTCCTATCACTACAGTCCCTAATGAAGAGTCCCTCCCCAGCATCCTTATAGGCCCCCTTCAGATACTGGAAGGCTGCAATGAGGTCTCCATACAGCCTTCTCTTCTCCAGGCTGCAATGAGGTCTCCACGCAGCCTTCTCTTCTCCAGGCTGAACAGCACCAACTTTCTCAGCCTGTCTTAATATGAGAGGTGCTCCAGACCCTGATCATCCTCGTGGCCCTCCTCTGGACTTGTTCCAACAGTTCCATGTCCTTTTTATGTAGAGGACACCAGAACTGCACACAATACTCCAAGTGAAGTCTCACGAGAGCAGAATAAAGGGGCAGGATCACCTCCTTTGACCTGCTGTTCACATTCCTTTTGATGCAGCCCAGGATATGGCTGGCTTTCTGGGCTGTGAGCACACACTGAAGCCGGTTCATGTTCATTTTCTCATCAATCAACACCCCCAAGTCCTTCTCTGCAGGGCTGCTCTGAATCTCTTCTCTGCCCACCCTGTACCTGTGCCTGGGACTGCTCTGACCCAGCTGTGGGACCTTGCAGTTATGGTTAAGCTTCATAAGGTTGGCATCAGCCCACCTTACAAGCGTGTCAGGGTCCCTCGGGATGGCATTCCTTCCCTCCAGTGTATCAACTGAACCACACAGCTTGGTGTCATTGGCAGACTTGCTCAGGGCACACTCAATCCCACTGTCCATGTCACCAACAAAGATGTTGAACAAGACTGGTCCCAACACTGATCCCTGAGGGACATCACTTGTTACTGGTCTCCAGCTGGACACTGAGCCATTGACCACAACTCTTTGTGTGCGTCCATCCAGCCAGTTCTTTATCCACCGAGTGGTCCATCCATCAAATTGATGTCTCTCCAATTTAGAGACAGTGATGTCATGTGGGACAATGTCGAACACTTTGCACAAGTCCAGGTAGATGACATCATCTGCTCTACCCCTTTCCATCAGTTCTGTAGCCCCATCAGAGAAGCCCACCAAATTGGTCAGGCATTCCCCTTAGTGAAGCCACGCTGGCTGTCACCAAGCACTTTGTTGTTTTTCATGTGCCTTAGCATGCCTTCCAGGAGAATCTGCTCCAAGATTTTGCCAGGCAGAGTTGAGACTGACTGGTCTGTAATTCCCTGGGTCATCCATTTTCCCCTTCCTGAATATGGGGTTATATTTCCCTTTTCCCAGTCATCAGGAACTTCACCTGATTGCCACTATTTTTCAAATATGATGGCCGGCGGCTTAGCAAGTTCACTCGCCAGCTCCTTCAGGACCCACGGAAGGATTTCATCAGGTCCCATGGACTTGTGCACGTTCAGGTTCTTAAGATGGTCTTGAACCAGATCCTCTCCTACAGTGGGCCCAAGGTCTTCATTCTCATAGTCCCTGTGTCTGCCTTCCAAGGTTTGGGTGGTGTGGTCAGAGCCTTTCTCAGTGAAGACTGAGACAAAGAAGTCATAAAGATCCTCACCCTTCTCCAAATCCAGGGTAGCCAGTTCTCCTGATAGCTTCCGGAGAGGGCCCATGTTGTCCTTAGTTTGTCTTTTATTTGCAATGTACCTATAGAATCCCTTCCTGTTATCTTTCACGTCCCTAGCCAAGTTTAATTCTATCTGGGCCTTAGCTTTTCTGACCTGGTCCCTAGCTTCTCAGACAACATCCCTGTATTCTTCCCAGGCCGCCTGTCCTTGCTTCCACCTTTTATAAGCCTTTTTTTTTCCCCTCTAAGTTTCCTCAGCAGCTTCTTATCCATCCAAGGAGGTCTCCTGGCCCTCCTGCTGCACTTCCTTCTAGTCTGGACTCAACACTCCTGAGCGTAGCAGGTGATCCTTGCATATTAACCAACAGTCTTGGGCCCCCCTGCCCTCTAGGGGGGTTACTAAGCAGGTTCCTGAAGAGGCCAAAGTCTGCTCTCTTGAAGTCCATCGAAGTGAGATTGCTGCACGCTCTTCTCACTGTCTTGAGGTGAACAGGACCATCTCATGATCGCTGCAACCAAGGGTGCCCTGGAGCATCACATTTCCAACCAGCCCTTCCCTGTTGGTGAGCATGAGGTCAAGCATGTTTGAGGATGAGCACTGAGTTGTATTCCTGCAGCAAAAGCTGCAGAGGCCTACTGATCCTGTGTAATAGGTGAGGAATGGAAGTTTACATACTGTCTGTGGAAACTGCTTGCCTGTAGCTAGGAGGGAGTTTAATCTCTACCCTCAGAAAGATCTATTGCAGCCAAGCTCCAGCAGTTTTTAAGGATGAAGTCTGTAAAGCATGCCAAGTTCACTTGCCAGACAGTCAGGAATATTCTCTGGGGTTCTGAATAGAGAAATAGCATCACTGGGAATTATTAACATGTCATTAAATGTATGTTTTTAATTCACAGTACCATAGCACAAACAGTATTAAGGAAGAGGGTGTCTCATATTAAAAGAGGAATTGCCTGTTTCGATGAATGGTTGTGTTCTGGAGCATCAGTCCTCATTTCAGACTTGGAAATGTACCTTCTTCTCCATTACCCCAACAAATAAGGCAGAAAAGCAAAAAATTGGAAGAAGAAGGGAGAAGTAGAAAACAATCATTTTTGCAAGACCATCATCATCTAGGTGCTATGCTCTCCCTTTCACTAAAGGCATTCTAAACAAGATTAAACATTTCTGTGCAAAATGCTGTGTTTTGTGATACTGGTGTATAAAGGAAGAAAGTAAGGACTCTGATAGTTCAGCTATCTTAAAAACATGGAAGCAACAAAGGAAACTGGACAAATCTGTAGTGAGCATCACTTCATTTTTAGGAAACAGGAGATTATTAATGTAGTGGGTGAGTTTTCTTCGTGTGGTCTTTGCAATTGCTTTGTTTAATTTGGAGCTATTTCCGTTTTAGGATTTGTGAGTCTTTAAGTAAGAAAAGAGAGCTAAGGCAGGATCAGATTGGGATCTGCAGATGAGATGCAGCACAACAGCCATAGACACTCACCCTGGAAAGGCCTCAGACCTGCGCTTTTGTACTTTGGATGCTAGAACAGAAAAGGAATACAAGATTTGGTGGTTTAGGTCAGCATAGTTTCTGAGAGGTTTTTCCCACTTTGGATGAGGCTGGTACTTGAGTAAATACATTTACAGAAAAACTATTTATGTATTCAAGGCCAGAGTTTCTAATAGCAGCAGTAAACTTTGGGAAGAATTGTTTTCACCTGTATCCATAATGGGAGCATGCCATTTTTGCATGGGCTGTTCTCTGAAGCTAGCACACAGTCACTTCTTACATCTCCCATTTTCTTCATATGTAAATTATTATCCTCTTAGTGAGACTTGTTCTGTCATGCCATCTTCTTTTTGTGCTGGCAGTGTGCCTACAACGTATTTGAGCATCAAACAGACCAGTAAAAATTTCTGAGTGTGTTTCCTGTCTATCTAAGCAAGATAACAACTTTGAATACAGAAAATCATGTTTGATTTTTCCAGAAAGCAAAACAGAAGCATGCTGGTAGATATTTTGTCATGACTGGCAAAGCACTGGTGCTTGCTAAAACATCCAGATCCTGGAAGCATTGAAACGTGCTGGAATACATCTTTCTTTGATAAATTATGCTTAAGTGAATCACAGAATCACATGGAAAAGTTCTCAAGATCATCTAGTTCCAACCCCCCTGCCATGGGAAGGGACATCTCACACTAAACCATGTCACCCAAGGCTCTGTCCAGTCTGGCCTTGAACACTGCCAGGGATGGGGCATTCACCACTTCTGTGGGATGTTCCAGTGCCTCACCACCTCCATGTCCACGCTGATTGCAGGAAGTGTTGAACTAGGCTATCAAACCAGAACCTCGAGAGAGAGAAACTGAAATGTCTACTGCCGCAGAAAAAATTGGACTGATATCAATGCGATCAGACCAAAGCTGTTTAATACAAAGCATCTATCCTTTTTATACTATTGTCTGCATATGCTTACAGTAGCTTGCTGTATTATATTCGGATGCATATTCTTGTAGCACACAACAACTACGGCTACATATACAATAGCTCACTGTATTATATTTGGATACATATTCAATAGCTTGCTATATTGTAATTGGATACATATACAGTAGCTTAGTATATTATGCTTTGATACATATTCTTGCAGCACACAGCAACTAGTATACAATTGGTCCAATAAGCGTATGGGAACTTAACCTTTAAAACTTGCTAATAGTTCACTATTTTGTATCTTCGCACATCCCAGTTTCTTCGTATCTTGCTTGCACTGTTACTTTTGCTTCCTTACATCCTCCTTCATCCTCGATTCATGTCAAGCTCCACATAGGCACTTGCTGACTTGGGAAAGTGGCCATTCTTTGCTAAAAATCCATCCACAGTCTTTCTTTGATGAACCTTGCTAGGGCACTCCACAGACTGGTCACACAAAAGTTGCTTTCAACATTGTTTTTTCTGAACAGCTTGAATGTGTCTAGTAGCCTCTGTAGGATGTGTGGGCAGAGCAGCATTTTGATTTCCCAAATGAGTGCGTTTGGCTGGAGCCAAGCAGTGTTGCCCTGCAAAAACGGTAGGATGCAGCTGATCACTTGAACTTCGTGATCCTGGCTGCCACTGAATCCTGCCCCTGTTGGAAGCTGGGAACAGGGTTTCTTGCATGCATATCATGTAAAAATTGGTGCTGAGGACCTTGTTGAGTCTGATGAAAGCTTTATGTTACGTTCTTAGTTATACATTGACCATTAAATGTATTGGCTGCATCTTACTTCTAACATACACCTGTCGCTCACATTAATTAAACAGTAAGTGCATACACACAGAGAAATACTGTGTATGTTCCTGTTGATTAAACTCAGAACGACTGGCACGGACACTGTGGTCTGTTGTTGCTTTTCATTAACTAGGTCTTCATAATGAAAACACCACTTGAAACCATACAGCTATGGATTAATAATACTTAATCACTTGCTTGCTGTGGGAGAGTCCTTGGGTGGGAGAGAGAAAGGGAGTAAGAAAAAAAAAAAGCTGTTTTTTTGTTCAGAGAAGGGAAAAAATGATTTTGAGCTATTCTGACTCAGGTCATGTCACCCCAGTGCAAAGCTGAATATGCCATATTACTGATTTTTTTTCAAGCAGGACATTCCTGTACTCAGAGATCAACCATGTGAAAAATTCATCTCTGATCTTTGAATAGCTTGCTTTAGCTTTCTGTTTATACACTCACCTCTCTCCTAACTGGGTGTCTGCCTCATCTCTGCTTTACTGCTGCGGGTGGTCAAGGATAGTAGTATGAGTGAGACACAGGGATGGTTTTGTATAGGAATAATTTAATTTTGTCCACAACTTGTAGCACCCTTCTGATTGTGGTGAGCTCTATCCTTCAGTCATGTGCAAGTGCCATATTCCAGGGATTTTTCACTGTCATTGACTCTTGGTAAATGGAGTACTACAAGTTCTTTGGGACTTGCTCTCTTACTGACTATACATCCAAGAAAACAACAGTCAGAAAAACTATTATTGGCATTACAGTGCAGCATTCATACCTGGATGCTGGTATATGCTTTGCTTTTTGCTCACAGATTTACTTCTTTCTTTTTTTTTTATTCTGTCTGTATAGTGTCTTTTTGCTTGTTTTCCCTCTTCAGATTTGAGATCACCCTTAGAAAACTTAGTTTGACAAATAACTCATCCCATTTACCATTCACTTGTACAGTTGTTAAATACATTAGACTGGTTATTGTGCTAGTGTGTAACAAAATAGACATATATATGTATAACATGCATCCATAATTACATCCACTAAATTACATCCCATGTCACCTCTTACATGAATTAATTGGTGTCGGTTTTGGTACCAAACTCATTCAGTAGCAGGGGAACTGGTTGTTCATATCCCACAGAGAAGGACAAATTATTTTTATGGAAATAACAATATAATCCCAACAGAAAAATTTTGACAACATAATTACAGAAGAGAAATAATAACAATATTCTGAGTGACAAAATGGGGGGGGGGTGTGTGCTTTGTCTCTGTATACACAACTTGAAAAAATAAATGAAATTACTCAATTTATTTACAGAGACTTTACTTAAGAAGAGCTGCAAAATGTGACTAAATCTATTCATTTAAACTATGATAAAGTAAGTTTAAACATTTATTCATGAAATAAACTAACTGTGCCATGAACAACAGCCTGATTCCTGGTGAATGTGCATTCCTTATCTCTTCTCCTCTCTGTACAGAATTTCCAGCTGCTCCTTTCCAGCCTTTTGGGATTCCTTGTCCTGGCAAATGCCAGGACATGCCGTGGCTACTCTGGAACAAAGTGTGTGCACTTTTTCAGCCATGGTGTGTGAGCAGCTGCCTGGCAGAGTATCTAATGTCTGAGGTCTGTGGCCTTTTCTGCACTTTGAGATGTGTTCCTGTCTCTGTCCTCTGCCCAGCTGTTGATTCTCCCCCAGTCTTGTAGGACCTCTACATCTTTGGACTTCCACTCCTCCTTAATATGGTGAGAGTTGTGTTTGCAAAAGTTAAAGTGAAATTTAAAGTTGACTTTTTTCTGGCATGCAAGGAGGAGAATACGCTCAGGACAGGTTGAAAACAGGAAGGCAGGCAAAAAATCCACCTTAGGAGCTGTTTGACTCTCAAGTGCTGCACTTCATCCTCTCTGGAGATTCGTGTAAAGAGCTTGTCTTTGAAGTCTACTCTGACCCAGTGAAGACAAAGGAAATATGTATGTTAGAAGTGTGCACTGAAACTAGTTAGGCAAGGTTGTAAATTGTGAGCTCTTCATAGAGTTGTACCCCTCATAGGTTGCTTCACTCATACTGGGGAATATACAGTGTGGAAATGTAAAAGGAAATTGGTCTGGTTGAGCAAAATCACCAACAGAGTATCTCAGAAATAAAACTGCAAGCTCAGTAAGAAGGCAATTTGAGTACGTTACTAAATAAAAGATGGGTGTGAGAGAAAAGGTGCTGAAATGCAGTTCTTTGTGATGCGTGTGCTGAGATCTTGTTATCAGAAGTCAGTGGCATGAGCTCTCAACACGTTTCCTATTACCTGCAGGAGGTAGTTCAACCAGAACAGAAAAGGGTACCTTTTGATTCACTACCACTGGCACTTTAATAAAATAAAGGGAGAAATGTCTGCAGTCTCTAATAAGCAATATATCAACTAGCGCTGTCAGCCTGTGTAGAGAGCTCTACAGCATGATTTATTATCTTAATTACAGTCATGTGGGCCTCATGCTCTTAAGTCTGAAACTGCTCACATTCTCAGCGTGATTTAAGAATATGCTTTGGCCAAGACTTAAAGTACAGCTTATTATGATTAATGTAATAAAATATTTATTACATACTCCTTTCCTTTGTTTCACTACCCTGCTTAGACTGCCTCATTCTGAATCAGTAATATAAATTAGATTTAGATGATTAGGATCCTCATCTGTTCTTAATCTGTCTTCAGTGTTGTTCTTTTTTTCACATCCCTTTGTTCTGATTTTCCCTTCTCTCCCCCTCATCTTTATTTCCTTCCCATACTTCTCAGCTCTGCCTCTCAGCTGCTGTCTGGAGTGAATCAAAGGCAGGCAAACTTCATAGCCCTGTCTCATCCCCTCGAGACTTCTTGCATTGCCTTCTCAAGTATTAAAGTTGCTTCTTAAATGGAGTATGGCTGAAACTGGTGGAAAGCTGCAGCTGAGAACCCGCTAAGCCTCTGGTGATGTGGGTTAGCATGTAAAGAGAATACTGAAATGTAAGGGGTACATGTTTGTGTCCCATTTCTCATTCTTCTTCCACAGGGTCTACAACTGCAAACAGGCATAAAATTCTACTTACCAAATCTTATTAAATGCTGTTTAAATCTGTACCTGTGATTTTGTGCAGAGCAACCCACTAGTTAAATTGCTGCCTGAGCAATCAGGACTTGCGAGATCTGTTTACACATGTTAATCTGGTTTTCTCAGTGTGAGCATGTACAGGTAGAAACCTTTTGGAAAACGTAGCATTGTTTTTTTCTTATGTTAGAAATAAGAATTTGCTGTGATAATTTTTATGTTTCCCTTAATGCTTCACTAATTTTTAAATGATAAGCTAATTCAACACAGGAGGTGTTTCTTAGATCTTTACTGTCATTTTCTTCATAGTTTTGATTTTTCCTTCTTGTTCTTTCTTTTAGCAACTTTTTAATTGAGTTGTCTTATACATACAAATGTCATTCAGTTGCACCACTCTTCCACCTTCTAAACATGCAATGACTTAGTCCAGTTGATTTCTACATTTCTACATAAGCATACACTTAAATACAGGGACCTCAATCCAGAATTCACTTAAAATATGCTTTGGTGAGTTAGAAATTTATTAGGGGAAAAGCAG